GAGCACAGATCAACCATTTCTTACCAGAGCCCCAAAATTATTTTTTAAAAAACCTCCAAACAGGAGGTTTTTTTTTAAAAAAAAAACCTCCATTACAGGCGTTGGCTCACACCTGTAATCTCAGCACTTTGGAGGGGCCTAGGTGGGTGGATCACCTGAGGTCAGGAGTTTGACACCAGCCTGACCAACATGGTGAAACCCCATCTCTACTAAAAATACAAAAAAATTAGCCAGGCATGGTGGTGCATGCCTGTAACCCCAGCTACTTGAGGCTGAGGCAGGAGGATCACTTGAACCCGGGAGGTGGAGGTTGCACTGAGCTGAGATTGCGTCACTGCACTCCAGCCTGGGTGACAGAGTGAGACTGTCTCAGAAAACAAACAAAAACCAAAACCAGAAACTCTCTTCTTCCTCCCCAGCCCAGCTGAAAAGAAAGCTTTATCCACGTCTTAATCCAAAAAGGGAAGGAACAGGATTCAGTGATGGACGGGAAGTTTCACAAGGTCTGAAAAGGTGGCGACCAGGTGGAGGAATATGTGATTGCCAAGAAGAAGTTTTAACCCCAGATACTGCAGAAGGAGAAGCAGACAAGAAATGAGCTGAGACCAGGTGTGGTGGTTCACGCCTGCAATCCCAGCACTTTGGGAGGCTGAGGCAGGAGGATAACTTGAGACCAGGAGTTTGAGAGCAGCCTAGGCAACATAGTGAGACCCTGTCTCTACAAAAACATAGCCAGGCATGGTGGGGTGTGCCTGTGGTCCCAGGTACTCAGGAGGCTGAGGCAGGAAGGTCACTTGAATCTGGAAGGTCACGGCTACCGTGAGCTGTGATGTCACCACAGCACAGCCTGGGCAAATGAAGAGATCTTGTCTCAAAAAAAAAAAAAAAAAAAAAAAAAAAAAAAAAAAATTGCAGGGTGTAGTGTCTCACACCTGTAATGCCAGAACTTTGGGAGACCCACTCAGTAGGATCACTTGAGCTCGGGAGTTTGAGACCAGCCAAGGCAACATGGCAAAAACCCCTCTCTACCAAAAATTTAAAAATTAGGTGAGTATGGTGGCATGTACCTGTAGTCCCAGCTACTTGGGAGGTTGAGATGGGAGGATTAACTAAGCCTGGGAGGTCAAGGCTTCAGTAAGCCATGATTGTGCCACTGCACTCCAGCCTAGATGACAGAGTGCAAAAAACAAACAAACAAACAAACTTAAGAGAGCCCCGCAGAGCCCACAGGAGACTTGGTATTTAGGGGAAGCAGTAAGGAGTAGGAGTGAGGCAGAAAGCTGAAAACTGGGGTAGCTACAAGTTTCTCTACAGAAGGGTGGGACACCCAGGTCCTCCCCAGTCCCCATGCAGCCTGGCTACCTGCCCACTCCCACCTGCAGGAGATCAGAGATGGCATCAAGCTCCAGGACTCAGGAGCTGAGTCAAAGCTGCAGGCTGGGAAAAGGAGCAGGGCAGGAAAGCAGGAGAAAAGTTAAGGCCGGGGAGCTGGGCTCTGAGAGCTCACTTCTTCCTGCTGTCTGCGCAGGAAATCTACACGCAGGCATAGCCAGGTTCAGCCATGACCTCCTCCCTACGTGGGAGACCGGAGGACTCATCTCTAGAGAAACCAGCCACCCTGTAGAAGACAGCCCCAACAGTAACATCTGGGGCCTCAGTGAAAAGGCTCACTTGTCACCCCAGCCCCTTACAGCAAAGGCCAGCAGGTAGAGACCCACCCCTAAGGTGTCTTTCACTGAAAAAGGAGGAGCCAAAGATGTTGCTTAAGGAGCTGCTCCTTCACCGGCTCTCCTGTGCCCTCTCCCGCCTAACGCTCCTGCAGCTACCTGCTCCTGTCCGTCTGGGCAGCCACACTTCTAGGGTCTGATCTAGATCTCAAATGGCAGTTTGGGACCCTGGCCTGGGTGACCTAACAAGATCACCCAGACCCAGTTGAAAACCCATGAAGTGGGTTTGGCTTGGTGAGTTTCTACCTCCTTAGTCTTTTATTCTCGAAGCCATAGCCCAGGTGCACAGCAGTGGCAGTTTGCCTGTCTCTGTTTGCTGGTTTGCGTGAAATGTGGGGCGGGGGAAGCAGTGAGCTGGACCCTCCCGTCTACACTGGAGTTTCTTCAGACCCCGTCAGCCCACGGCAGCTGCACTCTCAGCCCTGTTGCCAGGCCACGCGTGCAGCAGGCCCACCGCTTCATTCTCGCCCTGCGTTTTGCGCTTCTGATGTGTTTCTGGCCCGTGTTTTTGAACCAGTCCTTTTGTTTATTCTCTTCTTGTAGCTTGTTTCTTTATTTGGAGCAGAGGCGTGATCAAATCATGAAATCACTGTCCTATTTTGACAGAACTCTATGTTTTGATTTTGAGTAATTTTTTTACACCAAAAGAACAAACGTTGCTAGCAAAGTACTTAATTCTATGCTGGGACAAGAGAACCCAAGTTGGGAATGGAGTATCTTGTAGGCCAGTGGTCCCCAACCTTTTTGGCCCCCATCCCACTGTTCCGCCTCAGATCATCAGGCATTAGATTCCTTTTTTTCTTTTTTTGAGATGGAGTTTCACTCTTGTTGCCCAGGCTGCAGTGCAGTGGTGTGATCTTGAATCACTGTAACTCTGCCTCCTGGATTCAAGTGATTCTCCTGCCCCAGCCCCCTGAACAGCTGGGATTACAGGCACCCATCACCATGCCCGACTAATTTTTGTATTTTTAGTAGAGATGGGGTTTCACCATGTTGGCCAGGCTGGTCTCAAACTCCTAACCTCAGGTGATCCACCCACCTCGGCCTCCCAAAGTGTTGGGATTACAGGCATGAGCCACCATGCCTGGCAGGCATTAAATTCTTATAAGGAGCACACAACCTAGATCCCATGCATGCACGATTCACAGTTCGTGCTCCCTTGTAAGAATCTAACCAGGCTGCTAACCTGACCCGAGGTGGAGTTCAGGTGTAACGTGAGCAATGGGAGGTGCTGTAAACACAGATGGAGTGCCCTTCACTCAACTGCTGCTCACCCTCTGCTTAGCAGCCCAGTTCCTAACAGGCCAAGGACCCACACTGCTCTGTGGCTCAGGGGTTGGGGACCCCTGCTGTAGACCATCAACTATATTGAGAAAGATGGCACCAGAGTCCAACTAAAGAGACCAAAATGATAGCAGGCATCAAAAAGAAAACCATGATCGCAAAGGACTTGAATAGACAATGCTCCAGAGAAGATACACGTTTGGCCAATGAGCACATGAAAAGATGCGCAACGTCACTATTGAAATGCAAGTCAAAACCACCATGAGCTATCACCTCACACCCTGGGATGGGTACTATTAAAAATATCAACAAGAAAACAGCAAATGTTGGTGAGGATGTGGAGAAATTGAGACCCTTGTGTGTCGTTGGTGGGAATGTAAAATGGTACCGCTACTGTAGAAAACACTATGGAAGTTCTGGCTGGGTGCGGTGGAGCACACCTGTAATCCCAGCACTTTGGGAGGCCAAGCTGGGTGGATCACGAGGTCAGGAGTTCCAGACCAGCCTGGCCAATATGGTGAAACCCCGTCTCTACTAAAAAAAAAACCAAAAGTTAGCTGGGTTTGGGGGCGCACGCCGTAGCCCCAGCTACTCAGGAAGCTGAGGCAGAAGAATTGCCTGACCAACATGGCGAAACTCATCTCTACTAAAAATCCCCAAAGTGCTGGGATTACAGACATGAGCCACCACACCTGGCCCCGTTGGGATTTTTGAAGTATATCTGGAAAGATTCAAAATAAGCCAGCAGCAATGGTTGCCTCCAGGAGGGGATCAGGGTGGCTGAGGGACAGAAGAGTAAGGAAGGCCTTTCACAGCTGCCCCTTTGCATCTTTCAACTGAACCTTTACCAAATTTTTAAATAAAAATAAGGGTGCATAATCAACAATCCAACTTCTAGGAGCACCCTCTAGTGGAAGAGCAGCACCAGCACACAGGCCAGCCCAAGGGCATTTCCCAGAGCTCCACAGCCACCAGCAAACTGTGGGACAAGACTGCCACCACCTTTAGGAAGGAGATGAGCATATTACAGAACTGCAGTAACACGTGGCTAAAGAATTAAGCAGCATCTACATCAACGAACATGGAAAGGGGTCCAATAACATCTCATTTAATGAGAAAAGTGAGTTGCGCAACATGTACGATGTTCCATTTTTGGTGTATTTAAAAGTTGTATGTGTAAATGATTTGCCCATGCACACAGAAGAGTCTGGAAAGACCATCGCCAACTGTGAACTGTAGGTCCCTCTGGGGACAAGGGTTGGGGGAATGATTTCTACTTGAGCATGTCTTATTGAATTTATCATGAACCATCTGGACCTTTTCCAATAGTTTTGTCAAAGTACAGTTGTTGCCCTTTTGCCTGAAAATAAGGTTTTGGAGCTGGAGGCAGTGACAACCCAGGAGGGAGCCGCTCTGAACACCTCTGCTCCCCTGAGCACCGGAGGCACAGTCGGGGCCTTGCTTGGTCCACAACAAAGTCACTTCTGTGTCAAATGCCTCAAGACCCATCAGCATGGTGACATGTCAGAAACAAAAGAAGTAGGTAGCATCAAGCCCTTACGTGACCCTGAGGTCACAGAGTCCCTCCACCATCATGGGACATGTGAAACCTGAGTATTTCTTGGACGAATGACTGCCTAGAACACTCTCCCTGCAAGTCAGTTTCAGAAGCCCACCCACCCTGCAGCTATTCCCGTTCTGCACCCCACGGCAAGTGCCTGGAGACACCCAAGCCTGGCACTGAGAGGCTGAGGGTGCCGAAAGGGTGCGGTGAGGCGGCCGACCAAGGGCTGAAGCCGGTGACCCCTGGGCCAGGACTCAGCTTCCCAGCCCAGAGGTGGGGGGAAGCCTCTGTCAGGACACAGGTGCTTCTCAAAACCAGAGAGGTCAGGGAATTTCCACCTCTGTCCAGGCCTGGAGGGTCTGTGGGGCCCAGAGGCCTCTCAACTGGAGGACAGTGGGTTTGTAAACATCCACGCCAACACCACCCACAGCTGCTGATTGTTTATTGCACAAGAAACTGGCAATATTGAGGCAGGGGGCAGGCTTACAAAACAAACTGGTGACCAACCCATCGCTAGCAAAGGGCATTCGGTACAGACACTTCAGTTATACACACGTACGTACGCACACGCACGAACACACATGAACACCCGTGAGCCTGATGCTTCCAAACCGCCTGGCAGCTTACACCCCGACCCACCCAACGGGGTGGTCTCCATGGTGACGTGCCACAGGGAAGTACAGCAAATGACTGAAAGGGACAGAAGAAGCTGCACCTCGGCAAGCTGAGCCACTCAAATCAGCACACAAGACAGAGGCAGACGTGGGCTGTGCCTCCCAGGCTGGGGGAAGGCCAAGAATCTGTGCACATGAGACTGTGCTTGGAAGGCATCCAGGACCAGTCCAAGGGGCTGCCTGGAGTCCTAGAATGCTGGGAGCCTGGGCTGGGGAGTCTGCCACGATGACTGCCCCAGCATCCCGGTGCGGCACAGTCACCTTGAAGATTTCAATATGACCTATGAAGATTCCAATCATGGCAGAGTCCCCGTGTTGGAGGCTGGCGGGAAATACAGAAATCAGATTGGGCTATGCAGCAGCTCAGGGCCTTTCTGCTGGTTTTCATGTCCTGTGTGCTGATAAAGCCTCGCACCTATGCAGATCTGCTGGCTGGGCCGCCCTCCATTCTGAACAGCGGATGAACAAGCCCACGTGGAGCTCCAGGGGCTGGCAGGGGAGCTCCACAGCCAGACCCATGTCCCAACAGTGGGGGCTGCCCAGGGGACCCTATCTAGCAAAGGGATTTCTTCTCTATCAAAGGCGGCAAGGCTGGGAGTGGCGCTTGGGACCCCAACCCCTTCCACTCTGCCAGTCTCAGGGGCGAGGTCCCTGTGAGGCTGCACTGGAACCGCCATGCGGGTTCCTGAGAGGAGTGGCTGTTTGGGAAACTCTTGGACCCCTGGGGTGCCAGCTCCTGGACAGAAAGTGACAGCAGCAAAAAAAAAAAAAACAAAACAAAAAGCAACCCTACAACGCAAATGCTTCAAGTTTATAAATGTACAAAGAAAGTCTGGGGGAGTTTGCTGTTTCTGTCCCATGGATACCCAGGAAGTTTAGACAAACCTTCATTTGCTGAGAGTGAATGAACTGACCGGCATGCGTCCCACAACTCAGCCTCCACGGCTGGCGCCTGCTAGGGAGGGAGGCGGAGACAGCCTTGCCCCAGGATCCTCTCCCTCGGACCCTTACTTCATCTCCATCATCACAGAGGCTCAATTACAGCAGAACCTCCTTTGCTGGCAAAGACCCCTGGCTCTCTCATTCCAGAACAGCCACCCCCAATGGCCAGTCTCCTCGCCAAACTAGCCCATGAGGCCTCCGCCACAGCCCCTGGGGATGCAACACCTTCCCTTCCACACTCACACACACCCAGGGTGGGGCCCAGGGGAGAGGGGGGTGTTCTGTAAAGAGGGTCAGCCCTCTGGAACTTTGCAAGGGTGGGGCAAAGGCAACTAGAGGGCTTTATTCCAGACTGCCCTCCGCGGGTGGGGGAACTGAAGGGCCTCCTGGGATCAGGCTCTTCTGCCAGCGGCGAGATGACAGTGTGGTCCCACACAGGGCCACATCCACGGGGGTCTCCCGAGGGCTGCGGGGCCAATGGCCTCTCAGGCAGGGAGGACTCAGGACTACATGTGCGTTGGGGGACGTGGGAGGGGCAGCCTTGGTCACTCCTGTCCAAAGCCCTCGGTCTCCTCAATGGCATACAGCAGCTTCTCTCTCAGCTGTTCATAGCTCTTGTAGGGTGGGAGATCTAGACGGTTGAAGCTAAAGAGAGGAGGGAGGCGGGACAGTCAGCCCCGGGAGGCCAGAAGCTCCTGGACTACTGGAACAGAAGTGTTGCACATGTAAAACATGGTAGATCAGATGCCCATCACAGTCCCATCTCTCCAACCCAGTACCCCAGGGGCATGCAAACACTACACCCACTGGGCTGCCCCAGGAGCTCATCAAGTCTGAGGCTCTCTGATCTCCCAGTAATACCAGCAGGCTCACCAGGTGTGGCTTCTGGGCAGCCAGGTTTCCTTGCCAACCTTGTCAATGCAAAACTTCTGTGGTCCATTGCTACCTGTGATCCAAGGCAGAACACATCGGATGTCAACAGAGACGCCCCGTCCCAAAGCGGGACCCTCCAGCTCCACCCACAGACAGGCTTGGCTCTAGGACACAGAGGCCACAGCTCTTCCCCATCCCGCCAACCTGCTACCAGGAAGACACCAGGTCTCTCCTCCCTCTGAGGTGTGCTCACTGCCAGCCAGGGCACCAGAGGGCAAGGGAACACGTACCGATGAGTTCAGCAAATCCCCCAACGGGCAGGCGGCAGGTCCCAGTAACAAACTGCAGCAGCCGAATCCTCTTCTCATTGTCCATCTCCTTCACCACCTGCAACTCCGCAAGTCAAGGCACAGTCAGGCGGCCCCTGCGCCCAGCACTTCACCCTAATGAGGAGCTCTCCAGGTCAGCGGGGCCCCTCTTTGGGGCTGAGAACACAAAGCAAGGTTGGGCAGGGGGTGACAGCCTCCAACCTGAGAAACTCCGGAAGGGCTTTTGCTAAGAGGATGTGTTTGCAGAAGATTCCCACCGTCCATGGGACATCCCTGGGTCTCAGGGACGCCTCCGGTTGGATATTCTCTTCCCACCCAAGTTCTGCTTTTTAGGAATAGACTCAAGATGGGAGTGGCTGCTTAATGGGTAGAAGGCTGCTTTCTGGGGAGACTAAGTGTTCTGGAATTAGACAGTGGTGACAGTTGCACAACACTGTGAATGTACTGGAAGCCACTACTCTGTTGCACAGGCTGGAGTGCAGCGGCGCAATCTCAGTTCACTGTAGCCTCCGCCTCCCAGATTTAAGTGGTTCTCATGCATCAGCCTACTGAGGAGCTGGGATTACGGGTACCTGCCACCATGCCCAGCTAATTTTTTTGTACTTTTAGTAGAAAGGAGGTTTTACTATGTTGGCCAAGCTGGTCTTAAACTCCTGATCTCAAGTGATCTGCCCACCTCAGCCTGGGTGGGAAGCCACTGAATTGTGTATCTTTTTTTTTTTCCAAAGTCACTTCTACATTTTTGGGTATATGTATAGCAGTACCCCTTCCTGGTACCAAATTTACTTTATTATGAATTGTGTATTTTAAAAACTTAAATGGGTTGGGCACAGTGGCTCACGCCTGTAATCTCAGCACTTTGGGAGGCTGATGGGAGGACAGCTTGAGCCCAGGAGTTCAGCACCAGGCTGGGCAACATAGCAAGACCCTGTCTCTATTGAAAAAAAAAAATGTAATAGTTAATTGTATGTTATACAAATTCCACCTCTACAAAAAGTTCGTATATATACATATGCATACAGACATATACTAAGAATATCTGTAATAGTTATGGTTTTTTATATGCTATACTTCATAACAACAACAAAACCCATGCACACTAAGGAATCAACACATTAATTATACGTAGGATGACAGCTCTTTCTGTTTTCTGGAGCCAAACCCCTGCCTTCCTGTCCCATCTGGCTGGCAGGGGACCTCTCAGCCAGTGACAGGTGCCATCTGCCTGCAGGTCTGTCCCTGCACACCAGCTGGTCCAAGGCTGACAACCTCCTGTCACATGCACCGGTCCACCACTGACAACCTCCTGTCACACGCGCTGGTCCACCACTGACAACATCCTGTCACACGTGCTGGCCACCACTCCACTAGAACTGCCCCCGTTCATCCCAAAGCAGGTGTATCGTCTCCCTTTGCAAGTTATGGGAGGTGAGGACCGAGTCAAAGCTGAAGGTCCTTGCGCATGAGGTTTCCTCAGGACCCATTTCCTTTGGCCAATGGCCCAAATGTCCCTGCCAAAACCTGGGCCCCGAGACCCACCTGCCAGAACCACTGGATCTGCTTGCTGTTCTTGGTGTAGTGCCGGTAGATGGTGTTCTTCTGCCAGTCGCTCATGTCTATCTCCTGCATGCCACACAGCATCAGCTGGGGAGAGGAGGAATCAGCATCCTTAGTGGTCCATCCCTACTCATCGGCCACTGGCCAGCATTTGACACTGCCCCAAACGTCTTCAACTAGCTGTTTTTGGTGTCAGCGTTAATCATATGGGTAATGTAAGTCCCTTTTTCTTTTTTCTTTTTGAGATAGAGTCTCGCTCTGTCACCATGCTGGAGTGCAGTGGTGTGATCTCGGCTCACTGTAACCTCCGTCTCTCAGGTTCAAGAGATTCTCCTGCCTCAGCCTCCAGAAGTTTCTCCTTTCTTGAAACAAGTGTCTAGAAAAGGATGGGTACTGAGATGCCAAATCAAACCCATCTGCCCTGTCGAAGTGGGAGTTTTATTGGTGAGTGTCTGTGGGTACACAGTGAGCGTATCACATAGCAGGATCGCCCCAGAAGCAGGGGCTCGGGGTCCCAGCAACCTCAGACACTTACCTCCAGCTCTTTCTCATCAAAGTAGCGCAGCCACTCCAGTGGGGCCACCTCATTAAAGCCATCCAGGAAGGCTTTGGTCTGCTCTTCCACACCTCGGGTGAAACGCCAGTCGGTCAGCAGCCTGAGACCAAAGACCAGCCATGAGTGGAGCCTGAGACAGGCCACGTGGCCTGGACCTACACAGGACCACTGGATTAGCAAAACTGACTTCGCACACCCAGACCGAGCCTGCTGGAGGCCCCAGAGTGCGGCCCTGAGGACCTCACAGTGACCTGCAGACACCTGAGTTTTTGAAACCATCCTCACCACCACCTCCTCCTGCTCCTGCCCCCAGCACCGACTGAACCTCAGACGTATGGAAGCATGGAGATAAAAAGCCTAAACCGAGAGACCTGAGGAACAGGCATGGAGAACGGGGACACAGGAGACAGTGGGTCTAGGCACACAAGCCACGGAGATCCTTTCTGCCTGGAGAAACATGCAGACAGTTCAGCTTGTTGTGACTTCAAAGAAATTCTACCCAGCAGGCTTGAAATCTTTCACGTGGCGAAAAAGTGTAGCTTGGAGCTAGTAACTAAGGACCTCAGCTCTGGCTCCCCCAGCTCGTGCCATCATGTGACTGGCTGCTAGTAGCCACCATTGAGGCAGATGCAAATGGCAGGGTCCTGGATCCACAGTGACCCATAGGCCACAGGTGGCGGCCCATCTTTCTCTGCAACCCGCTAGGTTTCCTGCCACCTGCTGGGACTCCTGGAGCAGAGTCCCCCGGCACCAGAGACTCACATGATGTACTCTTCCTTGTTCTCCTCCGTAACCCGGATGCTCTCGCCGCCCTCCTTCAGCTCGTGGGTCGTCACCTTGCCCAGGATCTCCATGTCCTGGATGAAGTACAGCTCCAGGCCACACTCTTCCAGGTTGTTCTCTCTGGGGGCACAGGAGACCAAGCGGGAAGATGTCTATAGTGGCGGGGTCTTTCCTGGGTCCTGCTTTGTTGCCTGTGGGACACCAAGGCCTCACAGGTGGCCTAGAATCCAGAAGAGTGACAAGCAACAGCTCCCTGACTCAAGGAGAGAATTCTAGAACTGTCCACAGAAGGCAATTCTCTCCACAAGCTCTTATAAAAGCTGCATGAGAGCTCAGGGGACACTCTGGCAGACAAAATCCAGGCCATCAGCACCTACTCCCCGCCCAGAGACATCCCTCCTATCAGTGCAGTGGGGTGTGGGGGGTGGTGGGGGCAGGGGGCTCACTTGATCCAGACAATGGAGTTGTAGAACTCGGGGTCGATGGACTCCAGGTCTTTCAGGGTTGGTCTCTTGTTGAGCATCCGCTTGTAGAAAGGGAGGGTAAAGCCCGTGTCAATGAACTTTCCGTGGTACAGCGCCTGGGAAGGAAGAGGCACAGCACAGAGCTTTGGCTTCCCTGGGCACCACCAGACCAGCTCTCAGATGCTCCATATCAAACCCCACCACAGCCACCTGCCTTCCTTCCCTGACAGAATCGTAGCAGCGGCTGCCTCAGGGGCACAGCAGGAGGGCCAGGGGAGTAAACGACACCTTTGTCCTGACTTGTACCTGCAGGTGGCCCCCAGCCTGCCCTGCAGAGCTCAGGGACTGGGCCGAGCTGGCCGGCGCGGGTACCCTGTCCAGGCCTGCATCTGCCCCATGCACTGGCCAGCTGGCCCCGGGCTAGCAAAGATCTGTCCCATGCTCACAGAAAAGGCTTGCTCCAAACAGCTCCAGGTGGCAGCAGCCCTGACTCACTGGTGCTCAGGGCGGGTGGCAATGACAGCCAAAAATAATGCAGACACCGCTGACGGCGAGAGCTGGCGGCCAATGGTGAGTAATAGTCTAGGGTTTTACCGGTCTGTCCTGTTGGCTGCTGGGCCAGGCGGGTCTCTAGACCTGGGAAAAATGTGCCCACTTCCACAGCCCAGCACCTTGGCCAAGAACTCCCAGGCGATGGGAAGGGCCATATTTAGTCATAGACTCCTGGGGAGCTTGGGTCCTCATAACAGGGAAGCAGGGCAGGACACTCAGGAAGGCAGGGGAAGAGGCGAAGGAAAGTGAGAATTGAAACATCTCAAGCTATGAATGTAGCTCCCAAGCTGTGGCTCCCACGGGCCCCGCTTCTCAATCCAGGTTCTCACACTCTCAAGACCCTCAACAGAGGGCACGTGGCAGAACCTCCCTTTCCATATTCACACCATGTCCCTCTTTCTAGTTAAACACAGATGCGATGCTGTGACGCCTCCCCAGAAATGGCCCACATTCCAACAGATTTCCCTACACCCTGCACCAGCCGGTCTGCCAGGGTTTCGTTCTAAGCTAGCATTGATTCCAAATGTCCTTCCAGAAGGCTTAGTGTCTCAGTGGGACATTCCCAAATGCCGGGACAGTGTCACCTCCCAGAGACAGGCAGCAGGTGGGCAGTTACGGTTTCACTCAGCCCTGTCATCCCAAGGCCCTCAACAGAGCACATATTTAATGTTCAGTAAAGTCTGTGGCCCCGAGACCCTGGCTTCCTCTTGACAAGTCCTATACAAAGCAACATGGAAACTTCACTACCTATATGGCAGCCACTGAGGAAAGCTCTGGTTTCTCCAGAGCTCTCGCTAGCTTTTTGCATTTTATTTTTAAAAGACAGAGTCTCGCTATGTTGCCCAGGCTGGAGTGCAGTGGCTATTCACAGGCACGATCCCACTACTGATCAGCATGGGAGTTTTGACCTGCTCCATTTCTGACCTGGGCCAGTTCACCCCTCCTCAGGCAACCTGGTGGTCCCCCGCTCCCGGGAGGTCATCATATTCATGCCGAACTTAGTGTGGACGCCCAATCAGCATAGGGCACTACAGCCCAGAATCCTGGGCTCAAGCGATCCTCCCACCTCAGCCTCCCGAGTAGCTGGGACTGCAGGCACGTGCCACGGCGCCTGGAGCTTTTTGCATTTTTACTTTACGAGTTCTATGGGGGTGAAGGGTGGGGATCAGAGAGGGCACACCAGTCCACAGGGGCTGCTATTCATGCCACGTTGCCTCCTGGTGAACAGGCCCAGGGCCTCCTCCAATGCTGCCCCTTCCTGGAGGTCTCAGAGGAAGAGGAGATTCCCCTGTGGCCCCCTTACCATGGCGATGAATCTGCCGATAAAGCGGAAGTAGGTGAGGTGGTCCGGGTTGATGGAGGAGGCGGGGTTGATCTGCAGGCAGTAATTGTTCTTCCCCGCGTATTCAAATAAACAATACATAGGGTTGAGCACCTCGTGAGACAGGAGGAAAAACCACTCTCTGTGAGGGAAGAGAAAGAAAAGACAAGAATAACGGGTCCCTTAGTGCACATCTGCAGAGCTGTGACTCTCCTCCATTGTGTCTCAGGTAGTCTGCGGACACGTGTTCCAAGGAGTCCAGTCCCGTGACAAGTGCCCGGGCTAACCTATATGAAAAGCTGATCAGTGAACAGGGCAGGCTGAGACCTAGAGTGAACCAGGGTGGGGTGGCAAGTGCATTTGAGGATGAGGTTCAGGAAAACGTGTGCCTGTTGGCTCCCAAGTGATGTGTTCCTGTTCCTAGACTTTACATCACAACATCCAGAGCGTCTAATGCTAAAGGGGGTCCTTGTACCCTGGGTCACCATGCTCAGCTGCATAGGCTGTGTACTGCACAAGGACACGATGCATGTTTATTACAATGATCTTTCTGCAAAGGTTCTGTTTGAATAGCAACGACCCTGCTTCCACTCTACCTGGACGGGCAACATAACATAAATACACAGCACCACATTCCCAATCCTGATCCATGAAAATGTCATCCGTACTGTCTTCCGATTAGAAACCTCACCCCCACCAACTATGCCACAGGCATCTCACTTCTCTTACACTTTGCCCTCCCTTCACCTCCAGACCCCCCACACCATACCCGTGCCCACACTTCCACGCATTCATCTGAACCAACACCCAGTCCCTGGTTTCGAGCCTCAAGCATGAATTCAGAGTCCTTTTGGGCTTGAGCTAAACCAGCCAGGGGACGTCCCAAGGGGGCCAGTCCCCGGCCGCTGGGCTGTTTGTGGCTGGGCAGACGAGGAGTCCTTCGATGCAGAGGGTGTCCCGGTATCCTGTCCGTGGTTCTACCCTGTGGTAGAACAGCATGACGTAACCTACCATAGGGTAAAACCACTGGCAGGACACAGAGAGAGACACACACAGGGCGCGGCCACACCAGAAGCCCACCAAGCAGAGCCTGGAGAGGAGGTCACCACGGAAAAAAGGAACAATCCATCCACGGGGCCAGCACAGAAGGCAACGCCACCACTGAGCAGAGGACCAGGAGCAAGTTAACCCAACACCAAGCGAGAAGACATGGCCACACAAGGAGAGGTCACAAGCGGAAAGGTCACTGCAGGCCAAGGCGCTCCCTCTCTGCCAGGGCCCTTCTGCCCTGTTGTCCAAGGCAGCACTTCCCAGAAGGCTGTTAACTTTTGTGGGTGGACCAGGGTGAAGGCAAGACAATGCTTTGGTCTCTTTTTTTTTCTTTTTTCCCAAGGCAGTCTCGCTCTGTTGCCCAGGCTGGAGTGCAATGGCGCCATCTTGGCTCACTGCAACCTCTACCTCCCAGGTTCAAGGGATTCTCCTGCCTCAGCCTTCCAAGTAGCTGGGATTACAGGCATCCGCCACCATGCCCAGCTGATTTTTGTATTTGTAGTAGAGATGGGGTTTTACCATGTTGGCCAGGCTGGTCTCAAACTACTGACCTCGTGATCCGCTCACCTTGATCTCCCAAAGTGCTGGGACTACAGGCGTGAGCCACTGCACCCAGCTGCTGTGGACTCTTTTTAGGGTGACATAAGCCATTCTTTACTGACCCCAGGCACATGCCATGCAGCAGAGCCCTGCTCAAGGCTCTGTGGATCATGACACAGGGACACCTGACTTCACCTGCCCTGGCTGCCTCAAGAGGAGGGGAGCAAGGTCAACTCTAATGGATGACCACATGGCCCCGGTATTCAGCCACTGCCCAGAAGCTGCTGGAACATGGCACACTGGTAGATAACAGGGCCACTGTACTGAGCTCTCACCCCTCCCAGGAGTCCTCTGTCTCCTCATGATCCAGTAACTAAAGGCTTAACGCCCAGTCCAGCAGGGTACCCCAGACCCCTGCTCCAGGCCCATCGGGACTGGCCACATGGATTCACGGAGTTTGAGTGCCACAATGTGCCCACTCCTGAAGACGCAGGAGAGCTTTGGGAGGGAATGTCAGCATGAGGCAGGCAGCTTTCCAGCCATGAACACCGTAGCCTAGGGAAACGGGGTATGGGGCAGCCTTCTGGGGCGCTCCAGCTCACCTGGCGATGCCTCCATAGTCCAGGCCCTCCTCCCCACGCATGATGATGTAGAGCCGGCGGCGCAGGTCATAGGGTTTCATGTTCATGATCTGGGAAAACAGAGCATGGGGCCGGCCTGCCACTCTCCCTTCCACGGCAGGCAGGGGCAGGAGGGACAGGGAACTCTAAAGCCTACTCTCCAGCAGACACAGTCATCAAGACCCGTGCCCTGGAAAGTCTATAGTGTGGGTTTAATGGGCCAGGCAATAGGAGACAGGGTGCTGGGAGGAGGGCACCGGCCTGCCCCTGAGGGTGTTGGCACCATGATCATTCTCTAACCTGTTGGAAGGAATCCTCGAAAAGCGTCTGCCTGGAAACGCTGATCTTCACATGGCTGGGTAGGGCATTTGACTGAAAAGAAAAGAAAATCACTTCAAATGGAACCTCAAGTGATCATATCTGTTCTCTTGTCTGTATGAACAGGCATCCCCCAGCCTTCTGAAGCAGGAGGGGAGAGCGTGTCCCTTAGGAATGAAAACTGGCTTCCCAGAGACAGCCAATTTGGAGTTAGACAGCTGTCTTACCCCCACCTAAGACACAAACGTTACGATACCTGCAGCTGTGCCAGGAACTCAGACTGAAATAACTCAATAACCCCAACTGCCACAGGAGCCCCAGTCCCAGAACTCACATGGCAGAGGAAACGGAACTGGTGATACTTCCACCGAAAACTTCGGTCATAAGCACCAGGGGAACCTTGCTTCGTCCTGGGAAGAGCAAAGGCGTTCAGGGGTTCATGCAATTTCTCAGAAAATGAACAACTTGTCTTGGTCAGCCCTAAGGAAAGCTGGTGCTATGTTAATTTAAAGATGAGTAATGTAAGGTGAGGAAGTGACTGTCATTAAGATCCTTAAAGAATAAAAAAGAATATCTAGAAATAAAGCCAGACCTCTTGCTTTTAGAGAAACAACACTGTTGTTACTCTGTATAAACAGGATAGTCCCTTCCTCCCCATCCCATCTTATTTGTTTGTTTATTTATTTTCTAGAGACAGGGTCTCACTTGGTCACCCAGGCTGCAGTGCAGCGGTGTGATCACGGCTCACTGCAGGCTCAAATTCCTGATCTTAAGCAATCCTCTGCCTCAGCCTTCCAAGTAGCTAGGACTACAGGAGTGCTCCCATACTGAGCCAATTTTAATTTTATCATGATTTTTTAATTTTTTTGGAGACCGAGTCTCACTCTGTCGCCAGGAGGGACTGTAATGGCACGATCTCGGCTCACTGCAACCTCCACCTCCCAGGTTCAAGCGATTCTCCTGCTTCAGCCTCCTGTGTAGCTGGGACTGCAGGCATGTGCCAGCACACACAGCTAATTTGTGTATTTTTAGTAGAGACAAGTTTCACCATGTTGGCCAAGACTGTCTCAATCTCTTGACCTCGTAATCTGCCTACCTTGGCCTCCCAAAGTGTTGGGATTACAGGTGTGAGCCATTGCGCCCAGCCAATTTATTATTTTTTAGAAATAGGGTCGGCTGGGTGCAGTGGCTCAAGCCTGTAATCCCAGCACTTTGGGAGGCCGAGGCAGGTGGATCACGAGGTCAAGAGATCAAGACCACCATCCTGGTCAAAATGGTGAAACCCTGTCTCTACTAAAGATACAAAAAATTAGCTGGGCATGGTGGTGTGTGCCTGTAATCCCAGCTACTTGGGAGGCTGAGGCAGGAGAATTGCCTGAACCCAGGAGGTGGAGGTTGCAGTGAGCCGAGATCGCGCCATTGCACTCCAGCCTGGGTAAAAAGAGCAAAACTCCGTCTCAAAAAAAAAAAGAAAGAAATAGGGTCTCACTCTGTCACCTGAGCTGGAGTGCAGTGGTACCATCATAGCTCATTGTCGCCTCAAATTCCTTAGCTGGAAACCCTCCTGCCTCAGCCTCCCAGGTATCTGGGACTACAGGCATGCACCACCATATCCAGCTAATTTTTAATTTTTTTTTGTAGAGATGGGGTCTGGCCATCTTGCTCAGCCTGGTTAATCCTTTTTATTCTTGTAAAGGCAGGAATGTTGTCCAGGCTGGTCTCCAACTCCCAGGCTCAAGCTATCCTCCCATCCCCTTTAACAGGACATCAACATTGGCCACTAGAGGGCAGTAAGGGCAACAGAATGCACCACAGGGGACACCCAAAGTGGGCCTCCCGGAGGAGCCGGAGCCGGAGCCAGAGCAAAGATAGCCCAGGGCTCTGTTTCTGGACACTGCTGCTACCTGCAAAGTCCTTACCCCGACTCAAACCCTGGGCGAGGATCCTTAAAGGTGGTGGTGCGGGTATTGTGGTCCACAAAGTATCGCACGCCCTCGCTGGTGTATTTCATCTCCCATCCTGGGGGCAGAGCTGGTTCCTGGATCATCCTGGAAACATGGGAAGAAAGGGGTAGAGGGCTGGCCCCACCTTCTGGGCCTTGGTGGTTGGAGGCTGGGTCCTCAAAGTGTGGCTTTGTCTCTGCAGAGCCCATGAGGGGCCTTGAGGACATGCATGACCCAAGTTGTGAGGACAGTTCTGCAGCACAGAGAGGTCATTTATTATCCCATGGCCAAAACCCAGCCCTGCAGGGACAGCATCGGACTGAATGGTCACCAGCAATCCTGAAATACCTCGTGTCCCAGCCCTGCTTCACTTGGGGTGTTGGGAGACCAGGGTACCCTCAACCATTTTCCAATCCAATTATCAGCAGCTTGTACAATCAGTACAGAGACCAGCAACACCTGCCAGCCGGCCCCCTCCATCCACCAGGAAGGTCTATTTAAGAAACCACTTCTAAGCTCTCATGAGGCCAACAGCGTATCTGTACCATGAGAGTCTCAAGACACTTGTGTGTGGTTAAAGGCCCCCGACATCAGCCCTCTGGGACAATGCAGTCCAAAGCCACCTACCCAATGCTGGAGCTGCACAGAGACCCAGCCCGGCCCAGCCCCTCTCCCAGCCCATGTCCTCACCCCTGGGTCCTGGGGTCCTCCCACTGGGTCGTGCGAGTGTTATGGTTCACGTAATACACCCGTCCATTGTCCTGTCTCTTCTCTGCCACATGAGAAGAAAGAGAGAACCATTAGATTTGAAGACTGCGAGCCGCTGTCCTTTCCCTGCGGCTCCCACCTCCTGGGTGCTGGGTCTGAGTTTCTCTCCCTGTTGCCAGCCTGTTAAAGAAGTTGAACCAGCCAAAGCCGCGCTCACTCACACTTGTCACTGGGAAAGGGACACAGAGGGTCCTTCCTTGTTGGGGGATGGAGAAGGGTGACACATTTCCAAGTCGAGAGGAAGGACTTCTTTGCTTGGTTGGTTTACTGGAGGGGCGGGAGGTGGTGTGGCCACCCGGAGGGAGCAGCACAGCTCAAACCAGAGGCATAATTGCTTCCAGCTGTGTGCAGCACAGAAGCCGGGCAGTCCCCACCAAGCCAGGTCCCCCACCCAAGTCCCTCATGGCAGATCCCTGGTCCTAGGACCCTCTGCACTGCATGTAGCTGACCCAGGTACCTCTGTCCCACAGGGCATGGTCCTTATGGGGTGGCTCACACCTCTCTGATCAGTGCTCTGCACCCTGCAGCCCTGTAGCCTCCAAGTTCTCCCTCTTCTCCCACTTATAGGCTAAGTCTTATTCAAAAACTCTCATATCCCAGCAACCTCTTTCTTGCTCATGAGCAAAAAAATAATACCTGGGGCTGTGGACACTTACACTGCACAGCTTGTTCTTAGATATGTATCTTTTTTTTTTTTTTTTTTTTTAAAGAGACAGGGTTTCACCATGTTGGCCAGGCTGGTCTCGAATTCCTGACCTCAAGTAATGACCTCAATTAATCCACCTGCCTCAGCCTCCCAAAGTGTTAGGATTACAGGCGGGAGCCACCACACCCGGCCTTTCTTTTTTATATAAAGACAGGGTCTCTCGATGTTGTCCTGGCTGGTCTTGAACTCCTAGCCTCAAGTGATCATCCTGCCTCAGCCTCCCAAAGTACTGAGATTATAGGTAATAAGCCAGCATGCCTGGCCTGCCCATCCTGTTCTTACACCTAAGTCTGTGCTTTGAGATAGGGGAGTATCCGTGGAGTGGGGCTGGGGCACAAATATACTTTTCCTCTGCTCTGAACAATCTCTTGCCCTTTACTGATATACTGATGAGGGCTCTGGGGTCCCCAAGGTGGGAGTCTGGGCTCCAGGGACAGACCCAACCCTAGCTGGTGATTCTGGACCTTAAGAGGGATTGAAAGGCATAAACTCCCAACTCCAGGTAGACAAGGCGGGGGGGGAACAGGGGGCAAAGCTCTTGGCCCAAAAGAGGTGAGCTTTCCCAGGAAGTTCCTGAGCCTTCAAATCTGTTTGTCTCCTGAAAATAAATGATGCTAATGGCTCTCCTTTTACAATGACAGGACAACATTAAAGTCATCAGTTCCAGAAGCTACAGGGAAGCCAAAAGCTGAAAAAGGGGCAGAACAGGGAAAAGCACCATCCCCCTCCCCACGCCCTACCGAGACTCGGGGTACAGTGCTCCCAACACCAGCCCAAGGTCTCAGTCTCCCTCCGACTCGCTGCCTTACCTGGTATCTATGACTCAACTGAAATTTTACAAACAGACATTATTTGTCAATCACACCTCAGTAAAGCTGGGAAAAACAAATAAAATAAAAATAAAGACAGGCTGGGTACGGTGGCTCACACCTGTCACCCCAGCACTTTGAGAGGCTAAGGCAGGAGGATCGCTTGAGCCCAGGAGTTGGAGACCAGCCTGGGCAACATGGTGAGACTTCACCTCTATTTTATAAATAAAACATAAAATTAAAAAAGACAAAAGGAAAGAAAGAACAGGAGGTGCCCAGAACTGTTATGGAGCTACCACCACCTCAGAACACACAGAAGGAAGGGTTCCCAACAGGTTTCCAGGGGAGGGGGCTGCTCCCAGCCCAGAAACTACTGCTTTGAACTAACGTACACACTGTTAAGGGTCAAAGCCAAGGCTAACTACAGGGCCAGGGGGGATCTGTCCAGCGGGCCTGAGGCCTGTGCCGTCATTGCTGGCACTGCTGCTGCATGGAGGCCTCCCAAGGCCAGCTGACTGCCTCCCTGCATTCAGTTTCAGTCAGGGCCTGGAAAATACCTTAAAGGAGCACCTGGCTCGACCTAATTATAGGAGCAAATGGACTCAGACGTATTGAGCCACAGGGTCAGGGTTCAGGGCTGCTGAGGGCAGATGCAGATCTAAACCCACAGTGTCCTGGGTCCCAGAGCAGAGTGTGGGGAAGATGTGGGGTCTCCTCTGGGATAGTAGAGAGGGACATCAGCAGGCTCGGACAGCAAGCTGCCGATCAGTGTGATTCTCACTTGGTCTGGCTGTTCTTTCTGTTCATTCTCAGCAAGCCCTAGAGAGGTGGCTCCTGCCACAGCTCTGGGGCAGCCAACACGGGTCCCCAAGGATCTATGATTTGGAAGGTGCCCTGGCCTTTAACCAGAATGTTCTTCCTCTTAATTTTGGACTATGACAGTTTTGTGGGTTTTATTCCCTCCGTTCCTATCTCAAATATTTCCACAATCAGCAATTGACAGCTGTTTTCAAGTCTCCATCAGCCATGCTTACCTGGTGACCATCACTCAGCAGAATTGGCATGAAAATTCGCTTGGCTGGGCTAACCACCTACCTCTACAGAGCCTGAAACACACTCCAGGTCCCTGTTTCTAGGCTGCTGGCTACCAAACACCATTACAGATTCTTGTCTAATCTGACGCACTTTCCCTTGCCTACTGACGAGGCGGGGTCTTCAGAGTTTTACCCTCTCATGTTGGACTTGCTGCCAATCTCTGAGATACCAATGACCTTTCTTTGGTTCAAGGAGCCATGTGGGGCAGCTATGTGTGTAAGGGATTCCCCAGATGAAAGATTAACAAATGTGAGGAAGCTTCATTAAATGGTATCTCCCACCAGAAGGTCTTTCTTGCACTCTGGACTGCAGTGCCCTTTCACTAACTGGTACTCTGTAGGTACAAGACGGTTGACACAACCTCTTAAATGACTACCCGAGAGCAGAACAGTCTGCACCGAGAAGATCCAGCTCCAAAGCTGCACCTTTCCAGGCAGCAGATGCCCATCCTATCACTGTCCACTTCCCAGGATGCACCCCTGCATCCGTGCTGTCAAGCGCGCCCCCTCCCAGCTTCGTACCATCTGTGAACACACATCACCAAACCAACGTTGACCACCTTCTGCTGGTCTAGCCAATAAATTAAACTCAATACATGCTGGTTCCCGCAGAAACTGCCTTCTTTTGCTCCCAGTAACTCTTACAAGATTAAATAAAACACTGCCCTGCTCTCTCTCTCAAATGCACTAAGCTTCATCTCTAATGACCCTTTTGCATGGGTACTCCTTCCTAGAATAGCCATGAAGCCTAATCTCTCCTAACTCATGGATGTCCATCCCTTAACTCACTGTCACCAAATCACATCAAGGGCTTGGGAGAGGTAAGAGGCAGCTCCCAAGGGCAAGGTGAAATCTACATGGCGTTATTAACTAGCAGCGATGTGTTTCCAGAGTCACTACCTGGCATTCAACTCGTATCTGCTTCCCTCTGGCCTCTCTCAGAGCTATGTCAGAACTTAAAAGGTGGCTTCTATTAGTCAAAATTAGACCAAAGTCCTCCAACATCTCAGCTGCAAAGAAAGATTTGTTAAGGTGGATCGTTCCAACCATATGGTCACAGACCTGAAACAAATCCATTTCGGAGTTAGTGTCACAATAGCTTAGGGGTAGCATGGACTCAGGAGCAGACACCTTGAAACTAGAGACCAAAACACAACAGTCCCCCAGCTACTCGGGGACATCTTTCTCAGGGTCACACTCAGCGATGGTGGGTGGACACTACAATGCTTCAGTGGAGCTCGGTTACTCTCCCAGCCTCCCAGCTCCATCACCTGTAATTGCTCTGGCAGGGCATGCCCAGAGAGTGTGCTGGAGAGGAGAGAGATGGAAAACAGAGGGACAGGAACAGGGAAGGAAGGCACGCGGGAGGAGAGGGCAGAGCACCGTGGCTGACGGAAGGCCGAGGGCCGGGAAGAGAACTCAGTACTTACCCCAGCCAGGTGGGAGGGGGCCCAGGGGATCATGGTCAGTCGAAGCACTCGAAGACTAAACACAAGAAACACAGCAGAACACAGAGGTTACAAAAAGCCACGGGTGAAAAAATAAATCAATCGATAAAAAATAAAAAAGCCAACGACTGGCTTCCACATTTGAGCGCTTTGCAGGGAATGCCGTGGTCCTTGAGGTGGCATCTGTGCCTCTCAAAAGTCTTTGTTTTTTGTTTTGTTCTTTTACAGAAAAACCAAAAAAGAACCCTGCGCATGGGGAGCCCAAGGGAGTTTTGAAAAAGGAAGAGTGCTGGGGAGGAGGAGGTGCGTCGGGGAAGGTGTGCCAGGGTGGCGGCAGCCGGGAGTGGCCCGGCAGGGCAGGAAGGCCCGGGAAGCAGGCTGGGCCCAGGGCCTCTGCTCAGCTCTGGCTCGAGGCAGCCAAGGCGACTGAAATCACCACCACCTCCAACTTTCTCCAAGAACCACACACGGGAGGGGAAAAAATATCGCAGGCCTTTCCAATGAAATCATTCCCACAAGCCCTGCCCACGCCCAGAGCTTCCTGGCTGGGGCCCGGCCCTCCTCCCTCCACCTCAGCGTCCCCCGCCATCTCCCTCCTGGGTGTGCAGCGTCCACCCAGACTGAGGGCACATTCATGCCCCAAGCCCTCACCTCCCCCAGGAAATGTTTTCCTTCCTTTCACAAAGCACCTTTATTCCTCCCCTGCCTGAACCTGAAGTTGCCCAGTGTTCTGTGTTTGTCTGGGTGTGGGGGGCTGGGGGCAGGGCAGCAAGACAGAAGGGGAGGCAGGGGAAAGAAGGGGGAACCAGCTCCAGGACTTCAGGGTCACTGTTTACATTAGAATTCCCCCCTCCCCCCTTGCCCCCTCCAGCCAAATTCTGCCTCGAGGTCCCTGGGGATGGGCTGCAGTGGACCAGGCACTCTCATATCCTGAGAGGAAGCGGGGGGGGGGGGGGTGCGGTCAAAAAGTTCTGGTCGTTAAATAAAACAAGTATTGTTCCGCTCTTTCTTCCTTTCTTTTTTTTTTCCCGAAGCATTTTTATTTTACTTACTAAAATGTAATCGTTATAAGAGGGGATCAAGTTCTAAATGAGGACTTCAGGCTGCTGGGCTGGCCCCATCTGGGGTGCGGGAGCCACACACGAGCAGGAGGATGAATGGGGCTCAGTCTCAGCTTGAGAAAACATTGGTGGAACTCAACTGCCAGCAAGCCCCCTTGCACAGCCCTCCCTCCACCCCCAGCTGAAAGGACAGAGAAACTTTCTTTCCAAGGTGGCAACACAGGCCCCTCTTCCAAGCAATTTCCAACAAAGACGTTTAAGTCTTGAAACCATAGGCCCCTTGATAGGACAGAGGACCCCTTCAGGGCAGGCCCTCCTGCCCACACAGAATGCAAGCGCATGGAGGTGGGGGGATGCTCACCTTGATTTAGGGTCCCTTATCATCTACCTTGAGTTATGCCTAACGATCTCCATTGCAAGTCTTATTTACTGGAAAAAAATCTCCCAAATTCACACAAGTCATGTGGGTGTGTGTCTGTGTGTTGGGAGGTTGGGGGAGACAGGGTACAGCATCTCATAAAATCCAAGTTCCTCCAACTCTGTTTTGTGGTTAATACATTTAAAATATTCGGCGACAGAAGCAAAGGAACAAATGCAAAAACACACGTATTGCACATCATGGAGACAAGGGTGGTTGGTAAATAGTGAGCTACAGCAATAACCTTGCAAGAGGGAATGACTATAGAAAAGGTTGTTTTAAGAAATTAAAAGAGGACTCATTTGGTGTAGAACTGTTTGCTACTTCAGGACTTGTTTCAGAGTGAGCAGATAATCAGTAAAGTGTTCACGGCTCTTGTGGGAAATCAGCTATCGGCTGGTCCCATCCCGACTTCCACGGGTACACGGTCATCTTTTGCTTAACGCTGCAAATCAACAGACCAACTCTTTACGGACAGCCTCCCTGACTAGCATTGAACTAAGAACAGAAAATACCGATTAGGCCTTTCCTTAATCCTTGCTTTTAAAAAAAATCTCATGCTTCATGCAATGTTGGCTCTCTTTCATTAAAGTGTTTTAAAAATTTTTCCTTGGTATGCTCTGATTCTTATTCAATCAGAACGCTGCCCCTGCCCACACACACGCACCCGTGTAAGAAGCGAAGAGAAGAGGAGGCAGACAGGAAAGGTAAGATGGGGAGAGATACCAGAGAATGCTAAATACAAATAACATGTATTAGGTTGGTGCAAAAGTAATTGTGGTTTTTACCATTAAGAGTCACAGTGGCTGGGTGCAGTGGCTCAGGCCTGTAATCCCAGCATTTTGGGACCCTGAGGCAGGTGGATCACTTGAGGTCAAGAGTTCAAGACCAGTCTGGCCAACATGGGGAAACCCCGTCTCTACTGAAAATACAAAAATTAGCCAGGCATGGTAGCAAGCACTTGTAATCCAGCTACTTGGGAGGCTGAGTCAGGAGAATTGCTTGAACCTGGGAGCCGAGGTTGCAGTGAGCTGAGATCGTGCCACTATGTTCTAACCTGGGTGACAGAGTGAGACTGTCCCAAAAAAAAAAGAGTCACTGCACCAACCTAGTAAAATCAGAAGCAGTGGGAGCTGGTCCTCATACCAGTTTTACTTCTTATTGTTAAATAGAAGCACTTGACTATTTTGGATACTTCTTCCCTAAGGTACACAGTACAACTTGAAAAATAAAAAAAGCCAGAAGGAAGGAGGTGAACAAGGAGAAATGAAAAATAAAAACTGCATTTCTGGGCATGGTGGCTCATGCCTGTAATCCCAGCACTTTGGGAAGCCGAGGCGGGTGGATCACCAGAGGTCAGAAGTTCAAGACCAGCCTGGCCAACATGGCGAAACCCCATCTCTACTAAAAATACAAAAATTAGCTGGAGGTATTGCCACTCATCTGTAATCCCAGCTACTTGGGAGGCTGAGGGAGGAGAGTCTCATGAACCCAGGAGTGGAGGATGCAGTGAGCCTAGATAGTGCCATTGCACTCCAGCCTGGGCAACAAGAGTGAAACTCCATCTCAAAACAAAACAAAACAAAACAACTATGCATCATGGTCAGAAAACCAAAAGCCAAAAACCCCACATCTCCAATGAGCCAACCAACTGCCCTTTCTCTTCTGCCACACTCCCCTAAAATAAGGGATGTCAAGGTGTTCTGGGGAACACAGCAGAACAGGAGGTAGATGGGGGAAAGTAGGACTCTGCAGCCAGAAGGGAGATCCTGGGCATTCTCTATCACTAGGAACAGAAAAGGGCACTGTGGAATCCTCTTCCTGGGTAACGGCCCCTGGGTTGGGATGTGGGGGGCAGGCCAAGAGCCAGAAAGCTCACAAGAGTTCAAGTCCCTTGGGAACTAAGCACAAAGTTCCAGTAATATTTTAAGATATAAACTCAGAAATAAAGAATGTCTAGCAAATACAGCCGAGGGCAAGAAAGGTTCTGGGAAGGGCATAAAGGGTGCAGTGTGGAAGGCGGGCATGTTGTTTTTTTTTTAAGGATGCACCAGACAGATGTAGAACAAAACCCAGGTGCTTGAGAATTCAATGCAAGGGGCTCCCTGCAGAGTAAGAAACAAGTTGTCTGTTTCTAGATGATGGAATTTGGAGTCTACACCCTAAGAGCCACAAAAACAATGTTTCTTTTTCTTTCTTTTTTTTTTGAAATGGAGTCTCACTCTGCTGCCTTGGCTGTAGTGCAGTGGTGTGATCTCAGCTCACTGCAACCTCTGCCTCCCAGGTTCAAGCTATTCTCCTGCCTCAGCCTCTCAAGTAGCTGGGACTATAGGTACCTGCCACCACGCCCAGCTAGTTTTTGTAATTTTAGTAGAGACGGGGTTTCACCATGTTGGCCAGTCTGGTCTCGAACTCCCAACCTCAAGTGATCCACCCACCTCAGACTCCCAAAATGTTGGGATTACAGGTGTGAGCCACCACACTTGGTTGAAATAATCGGTTTGTCCTGCAGGCAGAGATGCCCCAGAAATTGCTGGTCATGTGGTGGTCCCTTCACAACAGCACAGTGTGCAAGGCTGTGGCGGGCATCTTCAGTGGGTCCCAGGAACACGACACAAGAGGGCAAAAGGAAACTGCAAGGGTGAAACAAGCAAACAAAAAGATACATGATGATCACAGGCAACCTTACACATTAGGGAGCTGGGAAAGGGAAACATGGCAGAAAAACTAAGAATGATAATTTAGAGGAACTGGAAAAGGGGTGTGTTGAGGCCAACAGCAGGAAGGAATTACAGGAGACTACAATCTGGGATTCCCTTGATTTCCATTTTGAACTGTACTTCAGGTTCTCTGCAGTGCAGCAAAGAAGAACAAGGTCTCAGTTGAAGCCCAGCAAGAGGAGGAGGGGAGGCCACTAGTCGAGTACTGGATCTTAAGTCTTCCGAGTCAAACTCTGGGTCTAAGCCAAACCCCGAAATAACTATATGAAAGCAACCCTTCTTACTTGTAACCAGGACATGGCACCATAGCAAACAAGAGGAGAAAACCAATGCCAGCGGGGGAGGAAAATCAACAGAGAGACACTGAAAGCAGACCAAAGAAAGATTCCTGCCACATTTTTCAACGTGAGTCTTGTTTTGTGGAGAAAAGGTATCCATCACCTCCGTGCAGAACCCTCCCACGTCTCCAGCGAGACAGAGAAAACCATTTGAGAGTACTCAGAAAGAATGACTTTTTAGTGTTTAATTTTTACTTCTAGGGAACCCTCTGAGTCAAAGCTCTATCTCTATAAACCCAGAATAATGCTGCTAAGAAAGGCAGGCAAAAGGAATGAAGGCTCCAAAGAGACCAGGCAGATGTGAGCTCCAGAATCTGGGAATCTTCCCTTTTACATGCCAACATCTTGGTCAACCTACAGAACCTAATTGGTGGCTGTTAAGGGGGGAAAATTTGCTTGATGCATTTTATTTTATTTATTTATTTTTTGAGACAGGCTCTTATTGTCATCTAGGCTGGAGTGCCTAGATCATAGGTCACTGCAGCCTTGAACTCCTGGGCTCAAGTGATCCTCCCCCCACCAGCCTTCCGAGTTGCTAGGATTACAAGCATGCACCACAACACTTGTTCAATTATTATTTTTTTTAATGAGAAAAGTTGGATAATCAGGTAGATGAAACCATGTGACACTCCTAAATATGTCCTTGTCTCTACGTCAAAGGACAGATAGGACAAAGAAGAAAGATGCCCCAGACCTTCCCAGTTTTGCAGTCACGACCACCCAAGAAAATGGCAGACAAAGTCTTTGGGCCCCAGCTGAAAAGGAGAAATCTCTGAAACGTGGTGAAAGACCAGATTCCAACCAATTCTGAAACGTGCCAGAAGTGGATGCCAGGCATGTGTGACGGTATGGGTGGGAAGCCTGGTCCAAGAATGTCTTCAGTGTTTCCCTGGGCTAGACAGCAGGGCCCTGGCATGACCATTGACCCTGGAGGCAACTTACTAAGACAAACACCACACTCCCTGCTCACCCCTGCTAAGGAAACTGAGGTCCCCTGTGGTTTCCTTCCTGTACGATGACCAATCCATCCTCATAGACAGAACTAGCAAGGGACATGCTACGGTGACTTACGGCTGATGGTTAAAAGTCAGGGGTCCATGGGCTGAGTGCAGTGACTCACACCTGTAATCTCAGCTCTTTAGGAGGCCAAGGCAGGTGGATCACCTGAGGTCAGGAGTTCGAGACCAGCCTGGCCAATATGGTGAAACCCCATCTCTACTAAAAATATAAAAATCAGCCTTGTGGGGTGGTGGGTGCCTGGAATCCCAGCAACTCGGGAGGCTGAGGCAGGAGAATCGCTTGAACCTGGGAGGCAGAGTTTGCAATGAGCCAAGACTGTGCCACTGTGCTCCAGCCTGGAGAACAGAGCAAGACTCCATCTCAAAAAAAAGAAAAAAAAAATGTAAATGTTGCTCTTTAGGTAATGACCACAGAAGATTTTGAGCCAGAAAACTGATGCAATGACAGTAACATCTGAAGATTGCTATTCAGCCAGATGGATTGGAAGAGAGAGGCCAAGGGAGAAAACAAATTAGAGGCTGCTCTAGCAATTCAGATGGGAAGGGGCAAAAGATGATCAAGCATCAGACAGAAGGAGGCTCGGCTAGACCAAAGGTCAACAAATGTTTTCTTCAAAGAGCCAGACAGTAAGCTTAGGTACATTAGGGTTTCTGAACTACACAGTCTTTACTGTGATACTTCATTCTACCACTGTGCCACGAAAGCAGCCAATATGTAAACTGCTGGAGGTGCTTATGTTTCAGTGAAACTTCATTAAGAAAATTAAGTGGCAGGTCAGTTTGGCCCATGGGGTATTATTTGCCAATCCCTCATCCAGATGAGGTATAAGGATGCTTCACCCCTGAGAAACTGTCAGATAATAAAGTTCTAACAAAAAACAGTAGCAGTTTGTTTCTGTTTCTGTTTTTTAAGAGATGAGTCTCACTGTTGCCTGGTGATGGATTTGCTCTGGAAAGGTGAGGGATGGGAGAAGTCAAAGCTGACCTTCAGGGTCCAAGTCAGGGAAAGCAGACTTGAATGGAGGGGGCAGAAAGCAAAGCTGGTATTGGAAGAAAGATGGGGAATTCGGTTTAGACATGTTGATTCCTTAAACACAGAGGCTAGACACGGAGTTGCTGAGAGAGAAACACTGGAATTTCAGGAATTTCACTGTGATGAATAAAATCTCCAGGGGCAGAGCACTGACGCTGTTTTCCTGCTCACCAGGCAGGTCAACAGAGAACGCCTGAGGCTGCGCATCCGGAAGCGCAGGGAGGTGCCCCCACCGCGTGGCACGCGCCTACCCTCTCACCTGGTAGAGGAATCTTTGGCTGAAGTGCTGCATGGCCCCCTGGAGCTGGTTCCGCTGCGACTGCCACTGCTCGTAGTTGCGCACGTACTCTGCGGTCGGGCGCTGCCAGGTGGTGGTCCGAGTATTGTGATCCACATAGTAAAACCTGCCTCGGGGATCTGTGCGTTTTTCCCAGCTGGAAACAGGAACCTCAGAATGAATATAATGACCACCCCACTTTCATCCCCCAATTCTAGAAAAGTCTCAGGATGCCTAGCACAGCCGGCAGGCCCCGTCACAGAGGCTACGGGGCTTAGTTGATTATAGCAGACATCTGCGGTTGCCTCCGCTGCACCCAATCCCTCCTTGCCATTAGCTCTCCATTTCTAATTTGGGGATCCATGTGGTTCTGGGGAAGCTGACTCTGATTCCAACCTCAAAGTTGCGTGGTTGCCTGGACCAGAAGTGCACATGTGATCTATGCTGAGCCAGCCACAGCCAACCTCAGGACTTGTGCTAGCAAATCTAGAAAAAATAATAGTCCCTCATCCTTTCTGCATACAACCGAGGAAGCACGTGGTCCTGGGGGCAACTGGCTATTATTCTGGACCCAAAGACAACAGGAAGTTGACTCAGTGGATGGCAGAGCAGAAAAATGGGAGAAAAGTCAATTCCTTGGTGATATTGCTGAGTAGCCCAAGTTTCACTTGGAATCAGGATTGATATCTAGAATTTTCAGTTACATGAACCAATACATTCCTTTCATTATTTAAGCCAATTTTGATCACAACTTTTGTTACTTCCAACTGAAACTCTCCTGATATAAGATGCCAATGAAAACATGTTGCACGGTCTTTGGTTTTGTTCTGTTCTAAGTCAGTCTCACTGTTTACATTTTTAGTAGAGACGGAGTTTCACCACATTGCCCAGACTGGTCTCAAACTCACAGACTCAAACAATCCTCTACCTCGGCCTCCCAAAGTACTGGGATTACAGGTGTGAGCCACTGCACTCAGCCTCAATGATTTTTTTTAAACTCAAGGCCTCCCTAAAAATGGTTTCCCCTCAAGTGTTTCCTAGATCCCACAGTTGGTTCCCAGATTTTGTCTGGATTCTGGCTGCTAGAGTGCCTCACCTTCATGACCACTGTCACTCATCATTCAGCTGAATACCACAGCTCTCTCCCACACCCAAGCCTTTCCTCAGTTTCCTTGTGTCCGTTCTCCTCCCAGGGATGAAACCAGTCGACATCATTTCCGCTGATAGCAATAAATCACTCAGCCTGACTGCTTCTTTTTCACTGTCTCCCTGCCCTTGACTTTCCATCTTCCATTCCTATGTCCAGATCTGTACCACCTCACTGTGGACTACTGTACCTATCCTGGAACTAACCTCCCCACACCATCCAGCCTATAAACAGCCATCAGAGTAACCCGCTAGACTGAGCCCTTGGGTCACAGTCCTGCTCAAAACCTTCAACTGAGCAGCCTAGGCAACAGAGGGTGACCCCCACCTCTACAAAAATATTTTTAAAAACTAGCTAGGAGTGGTGGCATGTGGGTTCTTGGTCCCAGCTATTTGGGAGGCTGAGGTGGGAGGACTGCTTGAGCCTGGGAGGTCAAGTTCATACTGTGAACTATGATTATGCCACTGCACTCCAGCATGGGCGACAGTGAGATCCTGTCTCAAAAAAACAATAGCACTTCAGTTGACTCCCCACTGCCCTTGAGTCAAAATCCTTCAGTAAGTATGCAAGGCTCACAAAAGTCTAAAACCTTCCTACCTTTCTCATAATTTGTCTAAACTAGTAATTTTTATTTATTTTTACTTGTTACCAAAGAATTTTTTTTTTTTTTGAGACCAGGTCTCACTCTGTTAGTCCAGGCTCAAGTAAAGTAGCAGGATCATGGCTCACTGCAGCCTCACCTCCTGGGCTCAAGCGATCCTCCCACCTCAGCTTCCTGAGTAGCTGGGACCACAGGCATGCACCACAACACTCAACTAATTTTTTTAAAAAAATTTTGTAGAGATGGGCATCTCCCCATATTGCTCAGGCTAGTCTCAAAGCAATTTTAGGTTCAAGCAATCCTCTCACCTCAGCCTCCCAATGTGCTGAGATTACAGGTGTGAGCCCCTGCACCCGGCCCAAAGTCGTATATATATATAGTTTTGAAACATGAATAGGACTACAGGGAAGAGAATGAAACACTGTGGTATCTTGCCCCATTGCTGACTCCTGTTCCCCAAAGGCAACCACTTTCAACTCTCAATTGCTTCTACTAGTATATGTGTACATCTGTGTCTCTAAATAACATGTCTATTTCATTGCCTTTTGTCTTTTCTTTCACACAGAGACAGGGTCTCACTATGTTGCCCAAACTGGATTTGTACTCCTGGGCTCAAGCTATCCTCCAGCCTCAGCCTCCTGAGTAGCTAAGACTACAGATGTGCACCACCAAGCTTGGCTCATTATTTCTTGATTTTTGCCATATTTGCTATGGGCTTATGGACTTTCTACTACAAAAGATGAGGAATGAGGATGTCGTTATTGTATTCCATCCCTCAACACACCCTCTACTATCTCCTCCCCTCGTCCTCTTCATATGGAAGATCACCATTAAATCAATATTCAGGCTGTGGATCATGACAACGTAGAATACTGTAAGTACATTTCCTTACTTGTAACAACTTTTTTCTTTTTTCTGGAGGTAAGAACCCCCTTGTTTCCTTCTGTGTGGTTTTCAAGAACCTATCACTGATGCCTCCTGAGGTTCTCGGATGGGTCAGGTGGCCTGGCAGTGGCCTTACTCTCTTGGCCACATCTCTCCTTCCCCTGACGTGGATGGTTGTGTGTCCGTTATCACACCTGCTCTGTGTCATTGACCTGAGTCATCCTCCCTCCTCCTCCTCTGGCAGCTTCCACGTCCTCAGGGTTAAGTTCCCTGTGTCTTGAATCCCATTCATTCTTCTTTCTTGGCTTCCTGGTGGGATTTGGTGGAATAAATCATGGAGGAGCTTCTAAGAAAGGATGTAACCAAGGTTAATTTTTTTGAAGCCCAGAATGTCTGAAGATGCCTTTATTTCTACTCTCATATTCAAATGTTAAAATAACCCAAAGCTGATTTCTAGACAGAGAATCACTTTCTTTTTTGTTTGTTTGAGACAGGGTCTTGCTTTGCTGCCCAAGCTGAAGTGCAGTGGCATGATCATGGCTTGCTTCAGCCTTGACTTCACAGCTCAAGCGATCCTCCCACCTCAGACCCCCACGTAGTTACAACTACAGGCACGTACCACCATACTGGGCTAATTTTTTATTTTTTGAAGAGACAGTGTCTCACTATGTTGCCCAAGCTGGACTCAGACTCCTGGTCTCAAACGATCCTCCTGCCTTGGCCTCCCAAAGTGCTGGGATTAGATGTTTGAGCCACTGCGCCCGGCAGGAAATCATTTTCCATCAGAATTGTGAAGGTCTTGCTCTACAGCTGTTGAGAAGGAGGATGGCACTCTTGGTTCCTGACCCTTTCTAGGTACTCTGCTTTTTCCCTCTGGAAGTTTCTGAGGCTGTCTCTTGGCACTCGGAAATTCAGTCAGATGAGCCTTGGGGTGAGTCTTCTTTTTGATCCTCTGGGCTAGGCATGTGGTGAGCTGTTTGAATCTGGATGCTTCAGTTCTGGTAATTTTTTTTTCTAATCATTTCCTATTGACTGTTTCTCTGTTCTTTCTTGGCGAAGAACTATTCTTCAGATATAGAATGTCTTGGTCACATCTACATCTTCTCATCTTCTTATCTCCAATTTTATCATTTTTTTGAGATGGAGTCTCACTCTGTTGCCCAGGCTGGAGTGTAATGGCACGATCTCGGCTCACTGTAATCTCCACCTCCTGGGGTCAAGGGATTCTCCTGCCTCGACCTCCTGAGTAGTTGGGATTACAGGCGCCCACCACCATGCCCGGCTAATTTTCTGTATTTTTAGTATACATGGGGTTTTACCATGTTGGCCAAGCTGGTCTCGAATTTCTGACCTCAAGTGATTCGCCCGCCTTGGCAACCCAAGTGCTCGCATTACAGGTGTGAGCCACCATGCCCGGCCCAAATTTTTCTTTCAACAATTCTACTGAATTTTTCATTTCTGTCGTCATACATATTGATTTCTAAAAGCTCTTGTTTTCTGCATGGTCGCTATCATGGCCTCCTGTTCTTGTTGCTCAGATGCCATACTTTCTCCCATCTTTGAGGATCTCCATTGTCATGTGGTTTTCCTTTCCAAAGCTGTTTTTTAGCTTCCTATTTGTTTTCAACAAGTCTCTTTTTTCTGTCTGCTAATCTTTGGCTATTTGTTCACATTTATTATTTATTATTTTTGAGACAGGGTATTGCTCTGTTGCCCAGGCTGGAATGCAGTGGCACAACCATAGCTCACTGCAGCCACAACCTTTGAGGCCCAAGTGCTCCTCCCACCTCAGCCTCCTGAGTAGCTGGGACCACAGGCGTGCACCACCAAACTCAGCTCATTATTTTAAAAAATTTTTTGGCTGGGCACGGTGGCTCACACCAATGATCCCAGCACTTTGGGAGACCGAGGCAGGTGGATCACCTAAGGTCAGGAGTTCAAGACCAGCCTGGCAAACATGGTAAAAATATACTAAAAATATAAAAATTAAAAATTAGCTGGGCGTGGTGGCATGTGCCTGTAATCCCATACTTGGGAGGCTGAGGCAGAACAGCTTGAACCCGGGAGGTGGAGGACACAATGAGCCAATATTGCACCATTGCACTCCAGCCTGGGCAACAAGAGTAAAAATCCCATCTCAAAAAAAAAAAAAACAACTTTTTTTGAGACTAGTTCTCCCTATGTTGCCCAGGCTAGTCTCGAACTCCTGGACTTCAGTGATCCTTCTGCCTTGGCCTCTGGAAGTTCTACAATTACAGGTGTGAGCCACCGTACCCAGCTGTGTTCATTCGCATTTAACGGTGAGCCACTAAAACACTGTCTAAGTTCTGTATCCTCGGGTGGGAGCTGCAGACTGTGGTTTCACAGCAGAGTGACCAGGAAGAGACTCAGCTATTTCACTGGAAGGTTCCCAAAGATCACAATCTATGTTTCTTTCTCTTAGACTGATGACTTTCCCCAGCAAAAACAAACAAACAAAACTACCCTCCAATTTTCAGCCTGGGGAATGGAGATAGTAGCTACACTGAATCTCCTGTTTCTGAGTTCATCCTTGCCTTCAGCTATAGTTTGTGTCCCCAGATCTGGTCCTCCTGATCTCTCTGCAACTTCTCAAGGTCAGAGGCAGTAATGAGGGTGTGTCTGTGTATGTGCATGCACACACGTGCACGTGTGGTGGAGGAATGGAAGTGATGGTTGACAACCTGGGAATCTAACTCCCCACACAGATTTCCAACTCATCTTCCAATTGATCTAAAACCAATGAAGTTATCATCTCATTTCACACCCATCCTTGGGCCTCTAATCGCTGAGGCTTTCCAGGGCTCCATGGTGCAAATCGGCCAGCTTCCTGGTGGATTCCTCATCCTACAGGCGTGGGTTTCAGTTCTCTCAGCTCTGCCATTTATCTATCAGCAACTAAACTTTGATTAACATCTCCCATATGCTGTTTCTCTTCTTCCATTCCTTTACTGTTGAAGGTTTATGCTTTTTTGATACCTTTATTACTGTTTTAGTGGATTTTCAGGAAGAACAGAAATAAACACATGCTCAGGCCACATGTTTTAACTAGAAGTGCTCTGTTGTGGTGAATTTCCGACTTCTAAGAAGCACGATTGTGCTCTTTATTTCAGCCAAAATCTTGCGCAGAACAGTGACTGGAGGCCCAGTCAGCCCTTCCTCCACCAAATCCGAGAGCCCACTGGGCACACCCTGAGCGTCTTTACTTCACACAACCCCTCCAGTCCAGCATAACTGCCCAGGCATCCTTCCCCAGACACATCCTTTCCACTCCCGTATGCAGGTGGGCAGCTCCACTGTCCCCGCAGCCTGGATCATCTTCCTACTAGAGTTGAAGCCACTTCCCTCTGTGAGGTCTCCTCAATCCTGCTGTTTCACAGTGATCACTCTTTGCTTACCTCTGATCTGAGCATTGCTTAAGAGTGACTGAAGAGCAAATGGATGTATTCACCCTGAGCTACCAGGTCCAATACTTATTGCTCCTGGGTAAAAGGACCTGTTCTCATACACGTTTCTGTGGGTTTCCTATACAGGGATGGCCATGATAAAGTGCACGGTTGGTTCAACCTTGCTCTCCAGCGACTAGGTCTGTTGAGATCATGGCTCCATCTATAGTATCAAAATTATTTTCACCATGGCTAATAATTCCCTAGAAGCAGGACTTCTGCCATTAACGAGCAATGAAGGCTTAAGCATTAATTCTGTTCTCTCTGGATCCCCTGTGATTACAGAGCAGAAATGAGTGCTAGAAGCTCAAAGCTCTTGGCCTACAACTCAGGAAGAGCTAATAAGCTACACAGGGTGTAAAGATGGCCATCTCCCAGGAAAACATGAAAACTACCCTGGAAATAAGATGGCTTGATTAGTAGCACCCCACCTCAGCACCTGGAGGACAGTAAGTCCCCAGTCATCCTTAGAAGATATCACTAAATATCTCTACTTAAATTCCATGCAAATGCTCATTAGGTCAAGGCCTACTATCTCCTAGACCACAGAGATTAAGAAGGAGCCACAAGACACATAGAGCTCCTGCTGTTTTAAAGTGCACCTGTTATAAAGTACACAAAGTACTATAATACATAAATATCTATGTATAAATACATAACAGTATGTAACACATACTATTAAGGTCAATGTTTAATCTGTGACACAATTATAGAAAATCAAATACTGACTGGGTATTTGATAATATAAACAAAATACTGTTATTGATACTGGAGTTTTATTTTTAATAAAAGAATGTTTTAGAAATACATACTGAAACATGAATAAATGATGTGATGTTTGGGCTCTGCTTCAAAATTACCTAGATCAGGGTGTGCGGGATGGGTGAGTGAGGGTTACAGATCAGGAGCTAGCAAATTTTTTCTATAAAGGGCCACACAAAGTTATTATTATTATTAGAGACAGTGTTTTTACTCTTGTTGCCCGAGCTGGAGTGCAATGGTGTGAGCTCAGCTCACTGCAACCTCTGCCTCCCGGATTCAAGTGATTCTCCTGCCTCAGCCTCCTGAGTAGCTGGGATTAGAGGCATGCGCCACCACACCCAGCTAATTTTTTGTATTTTTAGTAGAGATAGGATTTCACCATATTGGCCAGGCTGGTCTCAAACTCCTGACCTCAGATGATCTACCAACCTCAGCCTTCCAAAGTGCTGTGATAACAGGTGTTAGCCACTGCACCGGGCCACAAAGTAATTATTTTAGGCTTTGCAGGCCATAGAGTCTGCTAAAATCACTCAACTCTGCCACTGAAGTACAAAAGCAGCCATAAACAGTAAGCCAAAGAATATGTGTGGCTGTGTCCAGTAAAACTTTTTTACAAAAACAGTTATAAAAAACAGGGCCGGATTTTGTCCACAGGCCATCATAGTGTGCCAACACCTGGTACAGATGAAACAAAACCCACCATGAGTTGATAATTTTTGAAGCTAAATGTTCAGTATGTGGGAGTTTGTAATACTATTCTCTCTACATCTATTTGAAATTTTCCATAGTAAGAACATTTTCATAACAAAATGCTAACTTGTTTTTTTTTAATTTGAGAAGTCCATGTTTAACTTTGGTAACTTCATAAATGGAAGAGTGAGCACTGCTGATAACATGCTGTGAGTTCATCCTCCAGGAGGTAAGGAAAAAAGGAAAACTCAAGCATTCTACTAGAAAACTGAAGCTAAACGCGGCCCAGCCATGGAGAACGACAGGACCAGAAGATGAGGTGGGACGTGTGTGGCACACGCCTAACAGCTGAACCAAACAAGGCACAGGGGCTCTCCTGAGAATCACCACTTCCAACAGCCTTTTCCTCCGCAAACTCAGGGCGGGGAAGTGTGATACAGGAGCCCTTCGTGGCTACTTTACTGGGAGGTAATTCTTTCTTGAGAGCAGAATGCATTCCCTTTTGAAAGCTCTCGGGACCAGAAGATACATGTGGAAAGAACTTTCTGTCCGGAGCAGACACGGAACCAACCCCTTCTCACTGAACTTGGACAGTCTTCCCTCTCTTGGAAGCCTCTTTCATCCTTTGGTTTTGGGTAACTCAGAGGGTTTCTCACAAAGCCCTGCCCAATGAGAAGCACTGTGCCTTTAGGGACAGGCTGGGTACAGGGTACAGTGAAATGCATTAACACTGTATCTTGGCCTCCCATATGCCTTTTGTTTCCCAGAGATCCTATAATAATTCTAATATGTCCTAAGACATGGGAACAGTATTAAGGTAAGTGGACAGGAAAAGCAATCAAGTGACTTGGGATAAATGTCACTGTGCTATGCGATCTCTGCAGAAATGGACCGTTTCAAGAAGCCGTTGGGTGACTCACGGTGTCAGTTTGAGTCTCAGGTCTTCTCAGTCGACGACTTACCCTGGAGGAAGGGGCCGCTCCCAGGTGGTGGTCTTGGTATTGTGGTCAACATAATAGACACGTCCGTTGGGCAGCTCTCGCTGTTCCCATCTGAAAATTGAAGAGCAGGGTGGCATGAGACACACAATGGAAAGGCATAGGCCCCTGTTAGAAAGCAAGACCTTCACCACCCGTGTGGCTGATTTAGAGGAAGCATCAAAGGTGACATGTACGGTCAACCCAATGGTGAAGCCAGTTCCTGCTGTGGCTGAGGATGCCAACCAGGAGTGCTTCTTGAAGAAACTATAATAGCTCCCCTGGATGAAATCAATGGACCAAGGATTTACTATAGATCACTCTAAATTTCCCTAAATGACCTTAGAAATATATAGTCCATGGATTTTTTTTTAAATTCAACATTTCTCCACCATTTCACAATCCAAGGTCCCTTTAGGATGGTGATAAAAGCTGAGGATCCTTTCCTTTCAAAATGTACTTATGACAAAAATTTGTGTTACAGTTTCTGGGTTTTACAGAACCCCCCTAAAGATCATCATAGATCCTCCAGCCTTTTTCATCTACCCAACCTGTTAAAGTCACAGATTTTTTTTTTAATGATACAGGCTCTCACTCTGCTGCCCAGGCTGAAGTGCAGTGGTACAATCTCAGTTCACTACAACCTCTGACTCCCAGGCTCAAGTTATCCCCCAACCTCAGCCTCCCGAGTAGCTGGGACTACAGGCACACACCACCATGCTCAGCTATTTTTTTTTTTTTGTATTTTTGGTAGATACAGCGTTTTGCCCTGTTGCCCACGCTGGTCTGGAACTCCTAAGCTCAAGCATTCCACCCACCTTGGCCTTCCAAAGTGCTGGGATTACAGGAGTGAACCACCACACCCAACTTAAAGTCACAGATTCTATGACTACATCTGTTCTCCTAGCATCATATATATTCATGTTCACATTTATTTTTGTACTATAGGATTTATTTACAGAGTATCTTAAAAGAGATCTGGGTGAATACAGAAACACAACACAGTGGTATTTTATACTGCTCTACCTATGACGTCAAGTCTGTTTGTTAGTTAATCAAGGTACTGAGGGTGGCTTATCTGCACTACTGAAAGAATGACAAGGTAGCAGGTGACTCAGAGATAATACACACAGCTGCTCAGTACAAAATGCAGCCAGGGAACACTCATCCCCACACTGCTGTTATTTGCATGCAGTCTGATAATAACTCTACTTACACAGAATATAGTAACCTATCTATAAAGGATGCAAGATCTATTTATATAATCCTTACCACTTTGTCAAGGATATTAATGGTGCCGAGAACCTTTACATTTTACACTGAATTTATTTATTTCTACTTTTGGGTACTGTCTAGGAGAAATTAACCTTTTCTGGGAAGCTACTATAGTCAGTTCTGCTGTCATGCTTGTTTTGAAAATGCAGATGTGTTCCAATGCTATCGATAGAGAAGGGGACGAAGTAAGCATAATGAGAGTTCTGTTTGCTTACGCTTGACTTTTTCTGTGAGAAACACCAGATGAACATGGAAAACTTCCCCCAGCTGAACCTGGTTATACAAGAATATACTAAACCCACAGGCAGCCAGCAGCCTCCTCAGTTTGCAATGTGTTAACAGGCTACACCATCCACATCTGGAGTTACAACTCCCATCTGATTTCAGATAGCCCTTGGTGCACCAGTTCACAGTAATACAAGCTCCAACTTCTGGCATCTGCTTCCATAAGCAAATTTCAGGTCTTCTCAAGAGAAAATGCTGTATTTACTGTAGTGTTATCTATTTTGTAATCATTTAACGTGTAAAACTGTGCTATCATTATTAGGTTCCTATTTTTTTAAATGCGTCACTGATAAATTTTTTTTAGCACTACGTTCCTACTCATTGTTCCCTGTAAGCCCTGTGGTTTTTATCATTTTAACATATTTTTCTTTTCTTTTCTTGTTATTTTTTTGAGAACAAGTCTTGCTCTGTTGCCAGGCTGGAGTGCAGTGGCACAATCTCGGCTCACTGCAACCTCCGCTTCCTGGGTTCAAGCAATTCCCCTGCCTCAGCCTCCTGAGTAGCTGGGACTAGAGGCATATGCCACCACACCTGGCTAATTTTTTGTATTTTAGGGGTTTCACCATGTTGGCCAGGATGGTCTCAATCTCCTGACCTCGTGATCCACCCACCTCGGCCTCCCAAAGTGCTGGGATTACAGGAGTGAGCCACTGTGCCTAGCCTTCTTTTTATTTTTTTAAAGACAGAGTCTTGCTCTGTTGCCCGAGCCGGAGTGTGGAGTGTGTGATCGTAGCTCACTGCAGCCTCTGATTCTTGGGTTCAAGTGATCCCCCTGCCTCAGCCTCCCAAGTAGCTAGGAAAATAAGTGTGCACTACCAGGCCCAACTAATCTTTTTATTTTATATAGACGGGGTCTTGCTTTGCCCGAACTGGTCTTGAACTCTTGGGCTCAAACAATTCTCCCACTTTGGCCTTTCAAACCAACATGCCTAGCCCCTCTGGTTTTTAACTGCATAATTTTGCATCACATGGTGATTTTTAGGAGCACATATATTATAGCAGAGCTAACTGTATATGAAAAAAATGCCCTAACTTCTACTATTAAGCCTGGTGTGTCTATGCTGATAGATATTACTGTACTCAATGCCATTTCTTATTTAAACTGGGATGTCTGGTTAGTGGACTGCATTGGTCAGTCCTTAGAAGCTAGTCCAGAAACAGAGATACATAAGGTTTTTAAGGTAAGGAAGAAACAGAGGAGACACCATCACCCACTGAGAATCTCACCTACCATGAGCTACAGGCTAATGCTTTACTGTATGCAATCCTTTCCTCCATCCCTCAAGGTAGAATCACCATCAGACACTGAGGAAACTGAGGCTCAGAGGAACTAAGTAACTCTTCAATGGGATTCAAACCCAGCTCTGCCCACCAAGCCCATGAGTTTCACTGTGTTTTGCTAAAAGGCTGAATGGGAGGAAAAGGAAGATGAACTGAAGTGCCAGACACCTTCTCAATCCTGTTCTCGAAGTGAGCAGCTTTCCCCAGCACTGGCATCAAGGTAGGGTCAAGATGACTAGGGAGGAGGAATTATACAGGTTGAGTAGCCCCTTCCCTAGATGCTTGGGACCAGAAGTGTTTCAGATTTTGGATTTTGGATTCTTTTCCCCCAGATTTAGGAATATCTGCAGAATACATACCAGCTGAACATCCCTAATCTAAAAATCTGAAATCCAAAATTCTCCAATGAGTATTTCCTTTAAGGGTCATGTCAGAACTCAAAAAGTTCTATATTTGGAGGCTTTCGGATCAGGAACGCTCAACCTGTAACGCGACCACAGTCTTCACTTCTAGGCTCTGTTTTATTCACCATCCTCTGTTCAGATCTGATCTCCTGGAAGAAGGTGCACATTGTGTACCACTAGGAGGGCTGGCCCCGGCAACAGTGAGATCTGGAGGTTCTACACACACCCTAAAGTGGACAACTATTGGTTGAGGACCAGAGTGCTACTGTTTAAAGAAAAATGTTAGACAAAATAAATTTAGCCACATTTATTTAAGAACTATCCATGAACTGGGCAGCACTCAGAACCAGGAGAGATTCAGAGAGCGCCACCAAGCAGTGTGAGCAGCAAGTCTTTAGAGGCCGAACATGGAAGCAAGGTAGAGAAATCATCTAAAGGGCTACAGCTGGGCGTCTGCCTTATTTGGGCATGGTCTGATCAGCTGCCTGCCTGCGACTGGCTGAAACCCAGATGTTTGTTACAAAAAATATGTATTCTGAATTTGGGTTTTGGTTTGTTTATGTACTAAGTTAGGTTGTAGTTTTCCTATGCAATAACTTGAAGTATGGAGAGAGACTCAGGCTAATGTCATGTTACTTAATTAACATGATAAACACCTTTAAAATGCAGGTAGGGTTGTTTTCTCTCCTGGGCATTCTTGCTCAAGGCTCTGACTGATGAGAATCCTGGGGGTTTGACCCAGATGCCCTGGTTCTCCAACTGCAAAAGGGAGATCTTCGTATTTTATTTAGTATTTTACAAAAAGGGCAGGATCTGGCAAAAGTGGCCAGATGAAAATGCACACTAGGGCCAGGTACAGCGGCTCATGCCTACAGTCCCAGAACTTTGGGAGGCTAAAGCAGGAGGATCATTTGAAGCCAGGAGTTTGAGGCCAGCTGGGGCAACATAGCAAGACCCAATCTCTAAAAAAAAAAAAATTTTTTTAAATGCTAGATGTGCTGGCACACACCTGTAATCCAACCTACTCAGGAGACTGAGGCAGGAGGATCACTTGAGCCCAGGAGTTGGAGGCTGAAGTGAGCCGTGATCACACCACTGCATTCCAGCCTAGACAACAAACCCCAACTCAAAAAAAAAAAAAAAAGCCAGTTGTGGTGGATCCCGCCTGTAATCCCAGAACTTTGGGAGGCTGAGGTGGATGGATTGGCTGAGGTCAGAGTTTGAGACCAGCCTGGCCAACATGGTGAAACCTCATCTCTACTAAAAATAATAAATTAGCTGGGTGTGGTAGTACGTGCCTGTAGTCCCAGCTACTCAGGAGACTGAGGCAGGAGAACTGCTTGAATCTGGGAGGCAGAGGTTGTGGTGCGCTGAGATCACCACACTCCAGCCTGGACAACAGAGTGAGAATCCGTCTCAAAAAAAATTAAGAAAAAGAAAAGAAAGAAAGAAAATGCATACTGGGCCTAAATATCTTCTCCCTGTGGATGCCCTTCTGATTTAAAGACAAAGGGGTAACAATATTGCCAGCTCAAGAGGCTGGTGTTCCATCTGTGGGGACTTGGCAGGGCCTTCTAGGACAGAAGGTAACCGACATACTATAGCTTCCCAGCAATTCTCCAAATGCATTCTGTCTGCCTGGTAACAGAGAGGAACAAACCTGATACCCTCTTTATTCATCTGAATTTGGAAATGAAGAAAGTCCTGAGAAAGATATTTGGCGTAAGGATAAGAAAAAAATGGAAGCGCTGAGAGCCAATGGCAGCAAACCTCTCTTTTTTAACACTTGCTGCGAACTCGATGTAAGTAGCTGAGAACTCTCCAGCACTC